GACATTTCCTGAAACTGCACATAGTAGGTGCTCAATAAATAGCTAGAGGAAGTTGACTGTTGGGGGCCCTGGGGGCTGCTGGATCCTGAGAAGACAAGAGGCTTGGTACACAGGAAAAGGTGGAGCCTGGTCAAGGTTATACCAGAGTAAGAACAGGGACTTCTCGCCTGCTTCTCGAAACACACTTCAGAAAGCTCACTGGGAACTGCAAAACAGACACCATTACATCCAGGGCCTGGTGGCTCTTAGCTTCCTTGCTGGACCAGGCAGTGCCAGCTGTCTCCAGGAGAGAGAAAGTTTCCTCTTCCCGGCTTTTCCGGGTACCTCCTCAGGCAGCCTTCGAGGGCTGCCTTCATGGATGTCGAAGGAAGATGCTTCCAATGGCATCTGGACCTCCTCCAGCCCCTGTAGGCCATGGGGGCTGTGAAGGGGAGCAAGTGTAGGCTCCAGAGGCTCTGGCTACAGATTTCAAGGTGGGTAGATACAGCGTATGAGGACCCCTTGGCAGCAAGCAGTCCAAGGTGCCGCCCACGTGGGAACACCTCCACTGGACTTCGGACCCTCTACTTGGTCCTCGAAAGTCACCCTGACATCCTCCAGGGTGGCCAGTTCAGGCACATCCTCTGCAGGGTCACTGATCTCTTGGCCTTTGCAAGCCGGTTCCTCACTCCAGGGGCCCAGAGCTACAGCCTCTCTGCCCTCCTGGTTGGAACTTTCTGGAGTCTCGAGGCTCCCCATCCCGTCTGCTTACCTGAGCATCTGCGCTCCCAGTAGCGGAGCGTTGTGTCCTGCAGGGTCTCGTCAGCGAATCGCACCCGGAAAGGGCAACGCCGCTTGCGGGGCTTAGAGCCTTCCCCCGAGGGGCTGTGGGTCAGTGCAGCCTTGAGCTTGGGGACCTGTGCACCGTGGGGCCTGCTGAGAGAGGGGAAAGGAGCCTGTGCTCACAGCCCCCCGCCGTACCCCAGCACACACCCACCAACCCCAGACTCGCTGTGAGATTCTGGACAAGTGCCCTACACTGGTCTGTAAGAATGGATAACGCCTATCACAGAAGCCAGCCTTAATGGAGCACTTCCTACCTGCCAGGCAGGCTCAAGCATCCCACCAAATGCACACAGCCCCCACGAAATGCTGTTATCATTCTCATTTTATAGTTGAAACAGAGGCACAGAGACTATTCCAAAGTCATGCAGCTGTAAGGCGTGGAGCCAAGACCTGCACCCTGGTTCCAGAGCTGGCACCCTTGCACGTAAAGCAATTTAGCAGAGAGAATAAGAATGCCAGCCCAGGAGTCATGCAGTCCTGGGTTTCAGTCCTGACCCTTTTGAGCCTCAGTTTTCTTATCTGTAAAATGGGAATATTGTGCCTACTTTACAGCGTTGTGAAGAAAGGAAATGGGCCGTAGAAGCATCCAGCCCAGGGTCTGTGGGGCCCAGAGGAAACATCACTAACTGGGAGCTGGGTTTTTTTTGTTTGTTTTCTTTTTTTTGAGACAGTCTCGCTCTGTTGCCCAGGCTGGAGTGCAGTGGCACAATCTCAGCTCACTGCAAGCTCCACCTCCCGGGTTCACGCTATTCTCCTGCCTCAGCCTCCCGAGTGGCTGAGACTACAGGAGTGCGCCACCGCGCCCGGCTAATTTTTGTATTTTTAGTAGAAACAGGGTTTCACTTTATTGGCCAGGATGGTCTCAGATGCCTGATCTCAAGTGATCCACCCCTCTAGGCCTTCCTAAATGCTGGGATTACAGGCGTGAGCCACCGCCTGCCCTGCTGAGCTGTTACTGTAACTGTCTATCTCAATCATGCCCCATCCCAGCCACATGACCTTTGGCAGACTGTCTCCAAGTCTCCATTTTGCAGTTTTTTTCCCTTTAAATTATAGGTACAATAATACCATCCTCCTGGATTTGATGAGTATCAAATGACTTACATGAGACATCTAGGATATGGCCTGGCACAGGGTTTGGCCTTAACCAAGGGTATCTGTTACATGTATATTTCATAGATAACATTGTTCCATTTATTGTTGTTAATTTCAGCTTCAACCGGGTGAGGTGGCTCACGCCTGTAATCTCAGCACTTTGGGAGGCCAAGGCAGGCAGATCACAAGGTCAAGAGATCGAGACCATCCTGGCCAACATGGTGAAACCCCGTCTCTACCAAAAATACAAAAAAATTAGCTGGGCACGGTGGCGTGCGCCTGTAATTCCAGCTACTCCAGAGGCTGAGAATCACTTGAACCCAGGAGGTAGAGGTTGCAGTGAGCCCAGATTGCGCCACTGCACTCCAGCCTAGCAACAGAGTGAGACTCTGTCTCAAAAAAAAAAAAAAAAATCAGCCTCAAGGGCAAAGCTGCAGGAAGGCCTACTTGACCCACCTATAGCTCTGTTATTGAGGAAGGTCATGGCTGGCTGTTGGAATGCACGTATTTATATGTCTGCATCCGTTCATCAGACCACATCTGTATGTCTGTGTAGATGCGGAGGGAATGTTTTTCATCAACCCCCAAAGAGCCAAGCAGTCAGGAGGTGTCAGGACAGTGCCTGGTTACATGCCTTGGGACCTAGTCATCCAACAGTTGTGTGCTCAGCATCTCCCCTTGAGGGCCACTGGAGCCTGTTGTGAGGCACCCCAGTGTCCCCTGCAGGGCCTACCAGGGAATCTCATACACAGTAAGGTGCTCAAGTATTTGCTCTTGAATATGAAAGTCTGTAACTGTGTCTGTCTCTGCTTTTGCTCGCATTTGAGAGAATGAATTCCAAACTTTTATTTATTATATCTTGTGAGAAGTCATGTGTATATTTGGCCTGATTGGTTGAAAGTTCTGAGGTTGATAAATGTGTTTCACTTTTTTTTTTTTTTTTTTTTTTGGGACAGGGTCTTGCTCTGTCACCCAGGCTGGAGTGCAGTGGCACAATCTTGGCTCACTGCAGCCTCAACCTCCCAGGCTCAAGCAATCCTTCTACCTCAGCCTCCCGAGTAGCTGGAACCACAGGTATGCACCACCACGCCCAGCTTACGTTTGTAAGTTTTGTAGAGACAGGGTTTCACCATGTTACTCAGGCTGATCTCAAACTCCTGGGCTCAAGCGATCCTCCTGCCTCAGCCTCCCAAAGCACTGGGATTATAGGCATGAGCCACCATGCTTGGCCATGTGATCCATTTCTAGTTCCTACTCTGATCCATCAGTAGTGTCTACCTGGAGTACTGTGCAAGGAAGGGTTCTGAAGCTCAGTGGGGAAATATGATCCATTAGTTTTGTCTGCCGTGGGTATCAGATGAGGAGGAATGATATGTATGTGATATATTTACTCTCCCTGGTCTTTAAACTCATGGGTAGTGCCATTCACCCTTCACTCCTGCTTAGGTCTGGAGGAATTTTAACCTGGAGGAACTGTTTCTGTCTTCTTTTCCCCCTCTGTTAAAACTGTGGTATCTAGGCCCAGGTAGGTTCCAATGCCTAGGCTCTTCTCTTACCTCCATCCCTTATTTTTCTCCCAATATTCAACATACAGTAAAACCTAATAAAAGTTAGAGTAAGAAATGGACAAATGATGGTGGGATGGGTAAAAAGATGGAAGACTGGGTGGGTGGGCTGATGGGTGGATGGACTGTGGGGTGAGTTAATGAAAGGGCCTGAATAGAACTGAAGTATGAATGTATGGGTAGATGGACAGATGGGTGGCTGGTTTTTTATGTAGATGGGTATGTAGGTTTGTGGATGGTTTTATGACTAGATTAGCGATGGACAGTGTCCCGGGTTTACAAGTGGATGGAAGGATTTGTAGATGGTTGATCAATGGATGGATGATTGATCAGTGGATGGATGGATAGAAGTGTGGGAGTTTTAGACGGATGACTGGCTAGCTGGTTGGCCAGGTAGATGAATGGATCCACAAGACACCTGATTCATGGGTGGGTGGGTGAGTGAAAATATGTATGGATGGAGTCATGGGTTCATGATAGATGAATGGGTGGATAGAAAGATAGATGGATAGATGGAGAAATTCATGAACAGGTGGTAGAAGATCTGGTTCATGGATAAGATGGATGCAAGGATGGATGGGTGAATGGGAAAATGAATATATGAATGGATTCATGGATGAATTATGTGTTGGTAGAAGACCTCATTAATGGATGGGTTGATTCATACATGAACTGGCGAATGAATCTTGAATGGGTTGATAGAAGATCTGATTCATGGACAGATGTATGTAAGGATGGATGAATATATTCATGGGCAAAAGCGGAAAGAAAGGAGGAAAGAAATGCCCCTTTCCTCCACTACCCTACCCTATCCCTCCCATCACTCACTGGTTGGCCTTTTTGACAGTGGTGAATTGTGAGTGATGACCCTTCAGGGGTCCCAGAGTAGGTGTCTGATGGAGCGAAATCTTCGTAAGACTATCCTGGAGGTGCGATGACTGGCCCCTTAAAGACAAACAGGCCACATCAGGCATGAGTGGCCAGGCTGTCCCTCTCTGGAAACATCGATGGCAACCCCGTCCCCACCAAGAAGGGAACTGACGCTTACCATAGGTCTGGAAGGAATGAACAGTTGGGACACTGCGGAGACCCTGGGCAGTGCTCTAACACACCACTTTGATGTTGTGGTGCTGGGGATGCTGGAGCCAGGAGGAAACACTTGTGAGCCTTGGCTGGGGGACGATCCTTCCTAGTCATATGGCCTCGGGGTGATGGCAGGCCAGCCTTCAAGGAGGGGTTACGAGGGCTCTGAGATACTCAGCTAACATTAGCATCCTTCTGAGTCGGTGTGGTGAGGGTGTTGGGTGCGGGGACACAAGAGACCATCCCCCCACCAGGAATGACTCGGGCCCGCCCCCTGGGGCCTCACTCAGTGGCTCGGGCTCCTCGGCGCACTTCTGCTGGAGCTGGTGCAGGAACTCACGGAACCTGCTGGGGAGGAGCTCTCCTAGGAAGGCGCCCAAGAAGTCGGGGTCTTCCCTGGCCACGCCCCTCCGGGGGCGCTCGCGCTCTCCAGGCCCGGGCTTCCTGGGCGCCGATTCCCGGGACGCGCCGGCCGAGAGCAGGGGGGGTAGCAGCAGGGACCGCAGCAGCCCCCGCTTCCGCACCGCCCACCGGCTCGCAGTGAGCAGGGCGGGCAGGCGCGGCGGCGGGAGGCGTCCGAAGCCCACCCCGGGCTCGGCGTCCCCTTCCGGCCACCACGCAGCGCCGTCCCCCGGGATCCTCGAGCCCCCGGAGCCCCGCGCGCCCAGGGCCGCTCGGAGCGCAGGCGGGGTCAGCTTGAGCAGCCGCGGGTCGCTGCTGCGTCGGAAGTCGCCGTCGCCAGGGAGCCCCTTGGGCGCCACCTCCTGGGCCCCTGGGCGAGGTCGACGCGGGAACATGCTTGGCCCCGCGCTCAGCTCACCGCACCCTCAGCGCGCGTGGGTGGGGGGCGCCGGGTGAGGTGGGGAGGGCATAGTCCAACCCCAGGCCATAGTGCCCCGGGCAGGGCAGCGCAGTGCAGGGTGAGCGCCACCGGCCCAGCGGACAGCGAATGGCTTCAGGCGAGAGCTCCCAGAGCCTCTGTTTCCTCACCTGAAAAATGGTGACAGCAAGAGTGGTCAGTTTTGGGGTTGCTGTGACGTTTAAATGAGCACGTACATGCCAGTCTTAGAACAGCGAGCTCGGAACAGTGCCAGGCACGCTGGCCAAGCTTACACATAGACTAGCTGCCGTTCTTAGTATTTAAAAGTTCTTACTATTTAAGGTTTAGTCCCAGCTCCACCACTTACTAGCTTTGTAACCTTGGCCAAGCCAATTAACTTTCCCTCTGTCTTCCCTGGGGGCTCTGGTCTGCAGAATGGGGATAATAGCAGCACCTGCCTCTTTGCAGCCGTGAAATGGCATCACCGCTGGTTGAGAGAGCACTTAGCCTGCCTTGCAGTGTTCACATCGTGGAAGCTGTTACCGTCATTAGCGCTCTACTGGGAATTAGGAAACCTGGAACCAGCTTGAGGGAAGAAAGACCTGACCAGCAGCCTCCCAGCCCTGGTGGTGCCTCAGAGACCCCTGGGTGGGGAGCCTGTTGAAAGTACAGATGACTTACCCCCAGCCCCCATTCTGATTCAGTAAGTCTCTGCTGGAACCAAGACATTTTTCTGTTGTTGTTAAAGAGATGGGGTCTTGCTAAGAGATGGAGTCCTGCTGTCGCCCATGCTGGAGTGCAGTAGCACCATCATAGCTCACTGCAGCCTCAAATTCTTGGGCTCAAGCGATCCTCCCGCCTCAGCCTCCTGAGTAGCTGGGACTACAGGCACACGCCACCACAGTCGGCTAATTTTTGTATTTTTTGTAGAAATGGGGTGGAAATTTTTTGTATTTATGTTGCGCGGGCTGGTCTTGAACTGCTGGGCTCAAGTGATCCACCTGTCTTGGCCTCCCAAAGTGCTGGGATCACAGGCATGAGCGCCCACTTCTGGCCAAGACACAGACTTCTAACAAACTCTGCTTTGGGAGGCAGAGCCCCAGTCCTACTCCCAGCTCTGACACTGAGGGGTCTCTGAGCCTGCTTCCTCCCCACCATACCCCACTCCCAGATTGTTGTCAGCTCTGAGCTGGCTCCTGGACAGTGTCACACTCACCCTGGTGGGCTTCTGGGCAGGGCCTGAGAAGGTCCTGTGAGTTTAGAGCTCTCTACAGGTAGGCTAGCCCTTGGGAGAGCCCATCATCCCTGCCTGGTGCCTCTCCCAGCCCCTCCCTGCTGCCTCTGGGCGGTTTCAGGGTCATTGTGATCCGCGCCTCACCCCTGGGCACCTGAAGAGCAGTGGGCACCAAGGCCTGGGGACTGAGGGTGAGGCTATTGTGTCCTGGATGCCCTGGCCGTAACCACCCAGGGCACTGGGACTCTGACCAGGGCAGCCAGGCCTTCCAGATCTGGGAGGCTCAGGCTGGGTGGCTCTGGAAGTAGAACTTCCACCCCAAGAGCAGGCAGTCAGAATACAATGGACCTAGAAATTACAGGCACGGTGGCTCACGCCTGTAATCCCAGCACTTTGGGAGGCCGAGGCGGGCGGATCACCTGAGGTCAGGAGTTCAAGACCAGCCCGGCCAACATGAAACCTCGTCTGTACTAAAAATACAAAAATTTGCCGAGCGTGGTGGTGTGCGCCTATAATCCCAGCTACTTGGGAGGCTGAGACAGGAGAATCGCTTGACCCTGAGAGGCGGAGATTGCAGTGAGCTGAGATCATGCCACTGCACTCCAGCCTGGGTGACAGAGTGAGACTCCATCTCAAAAACAGTAATAATAATAATGATTCAAGGCCTGGGTGCTAGGTGTGCTTCTTGCTATTGAGATGTCATTTCTTTCAGGCAGTCTCAGCTGGCAGACAAAGAAATGTGTGTGTTTACTATTATACACACAGAGATCTATAAATATTTCTATAGGTAACCATCTGTACTTATATTAAGCTAAACATGAGCTCATGCTGACATCTCCAACTTTAATCCATTACACGGATCATTTGAGAGTCTGTCTCAAAAAAAAAAAAAAAAAAAAAAAAGAGGCCAGGTTGCACTGGCTAATGCCTGTAATCCTAGCACTTTGGGAGGCCGAGGCAGGCGGATTGCCTGAGCTCGGGAGTTCGTAACCAGCCTGGGCCACATGGTGAAACCCCGTCTCTACTAAAATACAAAAAAATTAGCCAGGTGTGGCAGCGTGTGCCTGTAATCCCAGCTACTTGGGGGGCTGAGGCAGGAGAATTGCTTGAACCCGGGAGGCAGAGGTTGCAGTAAGCTGAGATCGCGCCACTGCACTCCAGCCTACAGAGTGAGACTCCATCTCCAGAAAGGAAAAGAAAAGAGAAGAGAAGAGAAGAGAAGAAAAGAAGAAAGAAAGAAAGAAATTAACATACCCACTTTCAAGTCCATGGTCTGCTGTTTTGCTGTGTGATACTGGAGAAGCGTCTTTTTTCTCAGGACTCCCTGGGCCTTATCTCTGAGTCTTGGCTGGGAGAGGGCCGAGAGGAAGCTCATAGATTATTGTGAAGCTGGGGTGGGAGACAAAGGTCATTTACATGAGTATTTCACTGGCATGGCATAGTTTCATAATTTGAAAATGAAGAAACGACTTTGTAATTCAAATAACAGAGTGACTCACTAGAGGACACATCGCCAAAGATGTATTCTATTTTCTGTCAATGCTTCTCACCAGGGATGGAGGGACATACTTTCTTGGAGAGCTACAATATTGAGTGGGGGAGGGAGATATTTTTGTATTTATTTAAAGGGTATGTGACTTTTTTTAATGGCTGAGAAATACCAGATTAACTAGATGGTTTTTTGTTTTTTTTTTTTTTTTTGAGACGGAGTCTTGCTCCGTCGTCCAGGCTGGAGTGCAGTGGCGTGATCTTGGCTCACTGCAAGCTCCGCCTCCCGGGTTCAAGCCATTCTCCTGCCTCAGCCTCCTGAGTAGCTGGGATTACAGGTGCCCACACCACGCCCAACTAATTTTTTTGTATTTTTAATAGAGATGGGGTTTCACCGTGTTAGTCAGGATGGTCTCAATCTCCTGACCTCATGATCCACCCGCCTGGGTCTCCCAAAGTGCTGGGATTACAGGCATGAGTCACCACACCCGGCCTAACTAGATGTTTCTAAAGAGCCCTCCAGACCTTGCACTCTGCAATCATTTATCAAGCAACTACTATGTGCTAGGCTTGGGAATTCAGAGATGCCAGAGGCTTTGAGGTCAGGAAGCTGGCCAGCCCTGGGAAGGCCTTGGAGTCTGGGTGTGGGGAAGGGGCTTGCTGTTCTGTTGACAGGAAATAAGATAGGGCTGGATTTTTAGGCATGCAAAGTTTGGACCAGAGCTGCCCCCTGGCGGAGGATTCCAGACACCCCCAGCAATTGAAATTGCCCAGGATCAATCCCTTTGCATAGAGACACAGAAAATGAAGCTTGCTCAGCAGTTGGGACCTAGAATAGTCTAGAGGGGATGCCAAATAATATGCACATACACACGTTCTGCGGACTCAATGCAGATGGGGCTTTTTGGCATCCCCTTTCTCCCATAGCTTTCAGTACATTTAGAGCAAACACACTTTAAGCACCTTCTGTGTGCACCGCTCAGAGGAAGGCATTGGAAACCTAACGCCAGAATATTATTATTTTATTTATTTATTTTTGAGACGGAGTTTTGCTGTTGTCACCCAGGCTGGAAAGCAATGGTGTGATCTAGGCTCATTGCAACCTCCACCCCCCAGGTTCAGGCGATTCTCCTGCCTCAGCCTCCCGAGTAGCTGGGATTGCAGGCATGCACCACCATGTCTGGCTAATTTTGTATTTTTAGTAGAGACAGGGTTTTGCCATGTTGGCCAGGCTGGTCTCAAACTCCTGACCTCAGGTGATCCGCCCGCCTTGGCATCCCAGAATGCTGGGATTACAGTTGTGCACCACTGCACCCTGCCAACACCAGGATGTTATTAATAGTTTAGGAAAAATGACCTTAGGGTGAATATTGTCATTATAATAGCTTCCATTTCCTGAGAACCCACTGCAGGTGCTGAGCTGAAGGTCTGACGTGCAGTGTCCCACAAGTTTAATCCTCTCAGAGCATCAGAAGTTGAGTAATGATTACATTGCTCAACGTCTTCTGGCAGGAGACTGAAGCTCGGAGATGTTAACAGGCTCTACCCACCTGCAAGCTCGTGTTTCCATCACTGCTGCCTCGGAGATAGCTCCAGAATTTCTTTGCACGGGAGGAGCCGAGGGAAGGGCCATGCTTTTGGAATGGAAATTTCATGGGCTTGTTCTGCTTATTTGGGTGGGAATCCCATGGCACTGCCAAGAGTATTTCTTTTTATTTTATTTATTTTGGGGAGTCTGTATTATTTTAAGATGCTAATGGAGATGGGTGGATTTGAGGACCAATGGCTTTTTTTCCCTTCTTACTCAAAGCCCAGCCTGCAGCCTCCAAACGAACTGTTGTTTGTGATGGGGATGGAGAGAGGGCAACGCCGTGGCTCTTTTCAGTTTGGGAGGTCCTTCCAGATTCCCAAAAGTCAATTTAGTCAAGTTTTGAGCTGTAACCTGTGTTGGGCGTGGTGGCTCACGCTTGTAATCCCAGCAGTCTGGGAGGCCAAAGT